GCAGTGGGGGAAATAAAATATCCTTTATCTTACCAATCACTACTTAGACTAACCTAGTTGATCTTCCCTACTTGAGTAAAAGTACTTTACTCTGCTAACTTCATCATGGATTCTCCTGTTGTCTGTTCAGGGCTCTAGGAATCCAAGCCTATTAGGTGTCAAAAGTCTTTCTAGGCACTTTCTTCGACAGCCTAGTTTGCTGGAGCCTATTTAATGGAAATGACTAATCTGCTAGAGCAGTTCAAGCCAACCAGACAGATGCCTTATTTGACACACCCGTCATTTCTGATCGCCTACATTTCCTCTGACACCTTTGTTTTGGCTGGAGTGGAAGAAAAAGAAATGAATTTTTATTATCCACCTCGCTTTCCTATAAAATGTCACATTTAATCCTCACATCTTTTACCCAGATTACAGATAAAGAAGTTGGCCCAGAGAGGATAAGTGACTTTCCCAAAGTCACATAATTAGCTGGTAAGTGGCGAAAGTAGGATACCGGTTTCAGCCAAAACCCACGTCCTTCCCTCTGCAGTTACCCAGTGGGTAACTGTGCAGAGTGAGAACTGTTAAAACAGTTTCTCCCCAATGATCTGTTCCCCAGCCAGCTACTTTCAAAGCCTTTTGAAGCTGGAGTTTGAGCTATTGCTAATTTTAAAACAATGATAACATTTACACATTAAACACTTCTCTCCTTGTTCCCTTGACATCCACACACCTAAGATTAGACACAAAAACGTTCTCTGTTAGTACTTGGACTAAATATCTCAGTTTTTGAGAACAAAATTTTAAACATACTTTTAAACAGAGCACACAAGATTTTTCAACAGCAATATAATGGGGTAGCTCTATGCCACCCCAGAAAATATTATAATAACATAAAAAATCAGTTGAAGAAATACCATCTTCAGGTAATGTAAACTTTCAGATGACTTTCACATCACTGTACTCCTACCTCCAGCCTGGACCAACAGAGTCTGAGCAAAAACATAACAGTGAAAAGGCGCTCAGACCCAGCTACACTTGCTTTTTCAGCTATTACACATTTAAATTATACAAATCATACACAAAAATATTTCCATTGTCAAATAAATAAATAAACAGTATAGGATTATACAGAGCAAAACTGCAACACTTCATTCACAAGCTTCCCTAATATTTCTAGACCTTTTGCTATACATTTATATTGATGTATGTGTGTATACAATGCATAAATCTTCTTCAAATAGATGGATTATAGTTTGCAAATTGCCCTGATACTTCCAAAAACAAGCTTTATTGAGACATAATTCACATACATACAATTCACCCATTTAAAGTGTACAATTCCATGGTTTTAGTATATTCACAAAGTTGTACAACCATCTCTACAGTCAATCTTAGAACATTTTCATCACCCCCAAAAAGAAACTCGTGCCCTTTAGCTGTCACCTTCCTATCCCCCACCTTCTCCAGCCCTAAGCAACCACTAATCTACTTTCTATCTCTATACATTTCCCTATTCTGAACATTTCATATGAAGGAAATTATACAATATGCGGCCTTTTGTGACTGATTTCTTTCACTCAGCATAATGTTTTCATGGTTTATCCACATTGCAGCATGTATGTATCAGTATTTCATTCCTTTTTATGGACAATAACATTCCATTGTATGGATATGCCATATTTGCCCCGTTACTATTTTTCATTTAATATATCTTATAGTACTTCTCATTCAATACATGTAGATGTATCTCACTCTTTTTAATGGCATCACAGTATTGGATAATATTGATACACCCTTATTTCCTTACTGATAGACATTTTAGCTACTTCCTATGCTTCCTGTTACAACAAATTATATATAATTTACATAACATATATAAGGAGAAAGGGAGGGGCCATCTGTCTTGGTAGAAGGACTCTGCCTCTAGATTAGTGGTTCTCAAACTGTTTTCCCTGGATCTGCAACATCACCTGGGAATGTGTTAGAAATGCAAATTCTTGGGCCCCACGTCCAGCGTTTTTGATGAGGTTGGTGCCCAGTGGTCAGTGTTTTAACAAATCCTCCTTGTGATTCTGATGCATGCTAAACTTTGAGAACCACTGTTCCATATCTCTCTCAATGTACTGTAGTGGCTTTCATTCTTTGGTTTAAAGTAGATTTTTAAAAATTAGCAGTACTATAATAATTGGCTGTAACACACGACTATTGATTGGCATGGATAGTGCAGAAATATAGTGAAGAGGCCAGAGGGTCTCTTTTTTATTTTTCTATTATATTAAATTTTTCTGTAGAAAGAGCACTTTAACATAAAAGATCTTCTTCCTCTTAGAGTATTGACATGTTGTGGGGTTATCAACCAATGTCATAAAACAACATGTGTACTGACTGTTCAATGAGAAACTATTTGTTCTGTAAACTTTCATCTAAAGTACAATAAAAAAAAATTTTTAATCTTCCTCCTTTCATGTTTCTTCTATCTGTTTGACCCCTTAATCTCTCCTCTCATCGCCTTGACAACCAACAATGAAAACATTTACATAGTATTAGGATACCTGGGGAGTCCCTGAGTGGCACAAATGGTTAAGGTTAAGCACTTGAATACTAGCTGAAAGGTTGGTGATTTGAACACACCCAGAGATGCCTCAGGGGACAGGCTTGGTGATCAATCTGCCTCTGAAATGTCACAGTTTTGAAAACCCTATGGAACATGAACCATGGCCTCATCTACCCTGAGACCAGAAGAACCAGATGGTGCCCGGCTACCACTACTGACTGTTCTAATCAAGGCCATAGTAGATGGACCCTGACAGAGTGGGAGAAAAATGTGGAACAGAAGCTCAAATTTCTATTAAAAAAAAAAAAGACCTACTGGACTGGCTGAGACTGGAGGACTCCCCAAGACTATTGCCCTGATGAGATACTCTTTAAACCTTGAACCGAAACTAACCCTTGAGGTCACCCTGTATCTAAATAACAAATTGGCTCACAAAATAATATCACCTGTAAATACCGTGCTCCTTTAAAAAATCATCTATGAGAGACCAAACAGTCAACAATTCCTTTAAAACAAAGATGAGAATGTAAGGGGGCAGGGAAACTAGATTAATGGGAACAGAACAACCAGAACAGAAATGAGAATGTCCACACATTGCGAAGAATGTAACCAATGTCACTGAACAAATCTGTGTAGAAATCGTTGAATGGGAACCTAAACTGCTGTGTAAACCTTCACCGAAAGCACAAGAAAATATTATTTGAAAAAAAAGAAAAGAAAACCCTATGGAAGAGTACTACTCTGCACACATGGGGTCACTATGAGTCGGAATCAACTCGACAGCAGCTAACAATAACAACAAGGAGATGGAAAGCTTTTCCTCTCTGACTCTCACATTTCTGTTCTGATGACACCTACACAGATGTTGGGCAGCCATCCTTAGAACCCAGCTCCCATTAGAAACTGTGAGAGATGGGGAAAATGGGATTTTGTTGAATCACAGAAGGTCAGAGCTAGTCGGGGATTTAGAGATCTTCTAATCAAGAGTATCATTTTGGAGTTAAGGAAAATGGGGCCCAAAGAAATCATATGACACACCAAGGCCACACAGCACGTCTAAGCCTCTTCTCTCATAGAGCCTAACAGACGGCTCGGACCCCCAGGGGTGCTTAATTAACAACTGCTGATTTGACGTGAGAGAAGGAAGATGTCCTACATAACATGGACAAGCTCTGGAGGCAGTTATCAGCGGGAATCCTTTGCATTTCCTAGCGACAGCATTTTTAAGGTCCATGAATGTAAGACTGTCAAGTCATGTTGTGATATTTTTGTTTCTACATGAACAGGAAAGAGTTTTTGGCCTTGAAAGATCACTGCTTCATTTTTTAACTATTGAAGCACCACTGGGTTTGTCAAAGTCCTATTACTATAATGGTTTTTGACTGGGGGTATGCAGGAAATTCATTCGGGGAGGTTTTTTTTTTTTTTTTTGAAACCCATATACTTAGAAAGATATATTTTCCTTGTATTACTAACCAGAGAACACTAAAATAATACCACTATTTCTGGACATCCAGTATCATATTGTGCTCTAATTCAGTAATGTCCACTGAGGTCAGACAATGTACACAGAGGTCAGGAGTACATGGGCTGTTTATCCCCACAGAGTTGTTGTTGTTGTGTGCCATCAAGTCAATTCCAACTCATAGTGACTCCATGTGACAGAGTAGAACTGCCCCATAGGGTTTTCTTGGCTATAATCTTCACAGAAGCAGATCACCAGGTCTTTCTCCTGCAGAGCCGCTGGGTGGGTTCAAACTGCCAGCTTTTTGGTTAGCATCCGAGCACCTATCTGTTGTGCCACCAGAGCTCCTTATCCCTATGCTACCAACCCAAAAAATCCATTGCCATCCAGTCAATTCTGACACACAGTGACCCTATAGGACAGAGTAGAACTGCCCCATAGGGTTTCCAAGGAGCAGCTGGTGGATTCGAACTGTTGACCTTTTAGTTAGCAGTTGAGCTCTTAACCACTGCACCACCGGGCTCCCTAAGCTAAATAGCTCCAAGTTGTTGTGCTATTTGAGTTCTTTTGGCTTTTTACAGTTGTTCTGTCATTACTTTTACATCTAACAGTGGGTTTGCATCCAGAGTCCTCACTCCTACTCCCATACCTACTACTGTTGCCAATAAGGGTCGAGACACCAGATAAATATGATATTTAGAAGTATGCTAAATGTGATAGTAAAATAAATTGTGAGTGAGGAACTAAAAAATTTAGTTTTGGAACCTTGTGATATTTACTTTGGCAGCTATGTAATGGAAAGTCAATGTTGCCAGATAGGGTAGTCTGTAAGAAAGTGGCATGAGAGGAAGATCTCCTCTATATAAACAAAACAAAGAATGAGCTCTGGGGACTTTTTTTTTTAACATTAGGAAGGCATGCAGTTCCCCCTCAAGATTTCTCCCCTGCTGGGTTTTAAAGCTATATAAATACTACAAAAGGGAAAGCTGAGATTACCTGTAACACCACAGAACTGTGGGTATTGCTGGTGAAGATGCGTGTAGCTCCTGCCTTGGAAGACTGCAAATGGGATGAGAGGCCCATTTCGCTGCTTCCAAGGGATAATTTCATGTGTTGGTCTTCCTCTTCTACCAGAGATCTGAAAATTATTTTAAAAAAGCAGAAAGAAAGGAAAATGAAAATGTGTCATATAATTCACAATGACAAGATTATTTAGAGAAATAATCTGCCACTATTGCCAATTATCTGACTATGGAATATATTGAATTTTGTTTCACTATATTTTAGGCTTATACCACTCTATATCATGGAAGATATACATATATTTGTAAAAATCTTTCTAAGGTCAGAAAAGATAAAGAACTGAGAAATCAACATAAAGCCTGGTTCAAAACTACAATCACAAAGGTTCTTTTAGTGCCACAGTAATTGCTCTTGGTATTTTACTGTTTAAGTAGCAATGCCATCAAATTTTGTTATTTGCCATTAAAATTAATTTGGAACACCTAATTTTAGAAAGATAAAAATAACAGCTACCATTTACTGATTGAATAGTCCCTATGTATCAGGTACTCGCTAAGAAGTTGACACACATTATCTCATTTAATCCTTAAAACAATCCAATGAAATAGGTACTATTATAATCTCCTTTAAATTAAGAGCAGGGAAAATGAGCTACCGTAAACCCGTAAAAAACAGTAGCTCACGGTAGCTCATTTTCCCTACTCTTAATGAGCTACAGAAAACTTAAATAACCTACCCAAGGTTACAAAGCTATTAAAGTGGTTGGGCCCGAATTTGAATCTAGGTCTAGTCTGATTCCAGCTCCAAAGTTCTCATTAAAAACAGTCAAAGATGAACTGTGATATATTAACACATTACTTCCTCTTCAGTTATTTGTTATCGTTCTAATCAACCCCAGCTGAACAAATTTTACACATAAAACAATTCCTTTTTCTACTAGTATCTCTCATTTAACAGCTTTGGATTGTTTAGCTAAGCAGCTACAGTTTAGGGACCGTTACATCTTTTCAAAGAAATGAATAATAAAAAAAAGAAATTCAAGCTATGCCAAAGTATATTACAACAATAATTTTTCAGGGGCCAGAGAACAGGGTTGGAGAGCCGGTGATCAACAGGCCAGTTACCTCCATAGTGAACTTGACAAAATATCTGATAGTTAAAGGGCATCAGTTAGGCTACACTAAAAACTGTGCTTAATGAAACATAGTAGCACTCCTGACTGTCATGAAACCTTTCACTAGTCCTTAGACTAGGCAGGTTCCTGTTTGTTTCGGCATACATTGCTAACATTGTCTCTGGGTCACCTGATTAAGAGTAGGAGCCCACGGCTCTGAATGGGTTTGTGCATTCATGATGCAGACTGCTAGAAGGAACATTAGGGAAAAAGAAGGCAGAATGGATTATCAAGTGCTAGAACTCTTCATTTATCCATTTATTTATATGTACCTGCCTACATTTTTAATTATTTGCTTTTCTAACGCTAGGCTATCCAATATCAAAAGTATTTCACTTTTTCCCGCTATCATACTTATAATCTAAGTTGATTAATTTTAACAAGAGAAACAGTTTTAAGATTACGATAATTTTAATAAAGATCCTGCTTTTTGAATTCTGACAACAACCAAATGGTTTTAAATCCGGCAATAATTAGCAAAAATTCTGGCCTTAAGGGTGACATCAACTATTCTTAATGATATTAGTGCCACAGTATAACCAAAAGTGAATTAATAATATATAACCATGTTTTATTCAACTCTCATAGATATTTAATAAAGAAGAGAATAATTTAAATAGGATTTAATAAGCATAAAAGAAAATGGATATACCTTTCCATTAGACTTTCAGAAATAGTTACAAAAGAGAAATATATATATATGTGCACACACATATACATATACACTTGTGTGTATATTTAATATATATATGGACAAATATACAGTACATATTGTACACACATCACTTTTAAACAGCCTTTGTGGACAGGCATTTAAAATTACAAAATGAATTGGAAAAGTGGGGACTAGATTGATTGTGACTGGTATCTCTAACCAGAAAATGTCCATTCATCCAGAATTATTTTAATAGGCTATTCAAGTAGACTGTTTTATTAGTTTCTGTATTCCCTGCACAGAACTTTGCACATGGGAGGCTTAACTTATGTTCTCTGAATGAAGACAGAATCTAATTTTTATGGATCATTCAAAAGACATTTCTGCATCATGCAATGCTTAAATGACCATCAATTATCATTTTTATAGAACCACAAATGTAAAAGGGACAGGAGTAAAGCTGAAACCACATTGATCCTATGACATACCCTGGAAATTGCTTTTTTGAATAAGCTCTAGATAACAACTTGTTTACTTGTCATTTGTCTCTTACTCTTAAAATTAAAAAACAAAATGTGAAAATGCAGCCCTTTGTTGGCAAGATAATATGACTGGCTTTCTGCTAATTAATCACTTCAAAAGCTTAAGAAGCCTTCACTGAAACCATCTTCCTCATGACTTTTTATCAGCATCTTTTGACTTCTTAACATTCAAAACATTCCCTATTATTTCTGCATCAGTAACAGTACATGCCATGTCAACCTTCTTAGCAGATTCAATATTCTCTTCTATCTTCTTTTCATTAAGGTTATTGACTGGTTGTGAAGAGGCATTGTTCTTCAACACTGCAAGGAGGTGACACCTCTGCAAACTTCAGGCTACAATTTTATCAAATTATCCTTAAAGAAATGATTATTTGAATAATTCCAAGAACAAATAACATTTTTAAAAATCTTATTTTTTCAAATCGTATAGTTAAAAGTAATATAAACACCAACGGTTCTGTGGCGCAGTGGTTAAGCACCTGGCTGCTAACCAAAAGATCGGCGGTGGGAACTCACCAGCTGTTCCGTGGGAGAAAGTTGTGGCAGTCTGCTCCTGTAAGGATTTTCAGCCTTGGAAACCCTATGGGGCAGTTCTACTCTGTCCTTTAGGGTCGCTATGAGTCAGAATCAACTCAGCAGCAATGTTTTTTTTTTTTCCCCCAGCAGACATTTGGCAAAGTGTGAAGACATTTTTTGGTCATCACAACTGGTCGGGGGGGTGGTGCTTTTGTCATCTAGTGGGAGAGGCAAGGGATGTTGCTAAGGACAGGACAACCCCCTAAAACGGAGATTTATTCAGGCAAAAATGGCAATAGCACCGAGGTTGAGAAACCCTGATTTTAGAAAGATCAACCTCCTCGTGAAAACTTTTCTTAAGCAACTTCACGTTCTAAATAACTTGCCAGTCCTAGGGCTGATTCCATGAGGTAATGCTGGCAGTGAGAAACACATTTAAGACAATTACCACTAACTCTTCCATGCCTACCTAACAGAATACCTTTGTTTTCCTCTGGTCCATCAATTTGAAAAATAAAGCATTTACAACAGATAAGTAGATAATGACTTTGAAGTTCATAAGACAATTATACAGCAAAGGTATTGGTTTATATAAGCTCGTGTCAGAATAATATTTTCTTAATTGTGTTTAAAACTATTGTTAGTTAGATTCATTTTTATATGCGGTGTTAGACTCTGTCAAATCCTGCCTAAGTAAGCCATTCCATCAACAATAAAATATTATTCACAGGAGAGCCTGTGTTTACCAATTTTCTTTGTAAAAATTAAATCTCTCCTTCTCTTACCACTTTATAGTCTGCATATTGCTGCCATGACACCCGCTCTCACCTCGCCACCGCTGGACACATCTTATTTCCTAAATAATGGCCAACCACACAGCACTAAAGCAATCTTTCACAAAGTGTACATGAATCAGTCAACTATGCTTGTTCAAAGAAAACAATTACTTTTTCAAAAAGCATTAGGTTAAAGATAGAGGCACTGTCTGATTGCTTTACTGAAAGCCTCGCAAAGGTGGGCAAACAGAGCATACATATTCTCAGTGTGACTACTTTTACTGGCATTTATTTGAACTGCTATTTGAAGACAAAGGGAAAAGAAAGTGTAAGTGACTGTCATATGCTAACAAGGTGATGCACACCATAATCTCACATCAAAACTTCTGCATTTTAAAGAATACTGCAAGGAAAACATGTGCAAATGAAATGACCACACATTTTACAAAAGTACAAACGGTTAACAGATAGAAAAATGTTCAACTTCATTAGTATTCCAAAGTATGCAAATTAAAACAAGGATTCCATCTTTGAACCTATAAAATTATCAAAGAGTAGAGTGGAATATATAGTATCAAAATGGCTAGCAGAAACATGTATTAAGCCCTTACTGCCTGCGTGGCACTGTTAATCCAAACGGATTTTTTAAGAGAAATTTTAAAATCATCAAATGAGCAACGCTCTTTCTTTTTACAGTGAACACCATGACAATGAAAGATTGTATAACATTTATGTCTATGTCCTGGTAGGTGAGCCACAGCAAGAGTGCTCTATCAATTTGGTTCAAATATATTTTCTACAATGAATAGTTCCATAGAGTTAATAGTTTGGTAGCAGTCGTATAGAGAACTGTGTACTCACAGAATTCACTGTAGCAAATGTGTTTGTTGGTAGGCTGTTTGCGGGAAAGGAAGAGCATTCCAAAATTCCATCATTTGGCTCCACAGTGTCAAGTAGTCATCCTACACTCCTCAAACTCCATAAACCGAAAAAAAAAAAAAAATCAAACCCATTGCTGTTGAGTTGATTCCGACTCATAGCAGCCCTACAGGACAGGGTAGAACTGCCCCATATGGTTTCCAAGGAGTGCCTGGTGGATTCGAACTGTCGACCTTTTGGTTAGCAGCCAAGCTCTTAACCACTGCGCCACCAGGATTTTGTGTTTAAAAGATGAAGTATTGTCTTGATAAATTACAAAACGCACATTCCCATTTCTTAGTTTCTACCATTGCAAGCAGCAGTTTATGATATATACAAAGCTGTTGTTGTTGTTAGGTGCCATCAAATCAATTTCGACTTACAGAGACCCCGTGTGACAGAGTAGAACTGCCCCCATGGGGTTTTCTAGGCTGTAATCTTTACAGGAGCACATCACTAGGTCTTTCTCCTGCGGAGCTGCTGGTGGGTTTAAAACCGCCAACCTTTTGGTTAGCAGTTAAGCGCTTAACC